AGTTTCATTATCTGTACTATACTATACATTTTAGCACCGATGAATATAATTACTATTATAATATTAACATTTATGAAGTAACAGACTGAACATTGGACACGGAAAAGTTTCTTTAAAAACAATACGTATTGTATAGTTATTTATGATTTTACTCACACTGATATAAAAGTAATTTCAAATATATTTTTAAAGGAAAACAATTAACTTGTATTATTATAAATTAAATATTATTATATTTATATTTGTCTTTTCTTACAATAATTTTCGTAGTATTTTTCGATTTTATTTTCGTGGAATAAGTATATTATTATTTTAATAAAGTTGTATTGGGCAATATTTAGGTATGCTATGGCCTGTGGCTCTCTAGTTAAAAATATCGTTAGCGACTCGTATTCCAATAAAAGTGAAAAAATATATTTTTATACGCCAATAGTTAACAATTCTTCTATTAAATAAAAAAAGAAATATTTATTTTTTATGCAACAGTCGACATACATAATATTTTACATAAATATTTAGGGTTTATATAATATTTATTTTACAGCTATTTCTTTGATTTCCTTAAGCTACATTCGACAAATTTTTTAATCAAATTATTTGATTAACTCTAAAGAAAATATATATATATATATACTTGTTTTAAATATATTTTTGATGTAGATCGACGTATACTAGTTGATATTTTTTACTACACCATTGCATAGTGTTATTATGGTAATATTGTATTAATAAGTCCTTAGTCTACAGTCAACGTAAAAACCTCCGTACATATAGTATTATTATGTACAGTATTAATTTCATTTTGATAAGTGCGTAATTGTCTAAAAGCTGTATTTATATGAATCCGATGGCGACTTGCGGCCAGTTTAGCCCATGGTGACGTTATTATAACAATATATATTCATATGATTTATTCGACTATACCGCCATAATGTGTGCGTACTTTTAGGCCCACGTGATGTTTAATAATAATTATTGTCGAATATTGTCTAATAATGAACCTACTAATTATGGGAAACAGCCTACGTCTTGGGCCTTGGTGCGTATTTAATATTTATTATGTAAGTACTTGCTTCGATTAGAAATTATTATTATCTCTAAAAATAATTTAAATAGTGTTGATATATATATACATAATATTTATAGTAACCTTCGTATTTTTTGCTCATGATAACAATTTTATTGCGCATTAGTGTTACGTGCGAACAATTTTAAAAATGTACAGTCCCGTGGGCTTTGAAATTGAAACCCACTCGCTGTCCCGCCCGTCCAATTTTTTCTCAAATAATCAGAATCTACAACATAGTGGAGCTGTATTCAATATTCTACCAAATGTGTAAATAATCGGTGCATAATATTCGGTTGTTACCAAACATGTGATTCGTGTTACAGTAGCGAAAGAAAACAAGAAATCATGTGTTTGTCCCTTCGGTGAGCTTTTCGTCCGTCCGTTCGTTACTAGTCAAAATACTTGACACTATATTTCGTCAAGGTCATATTTTAATATTTTATACCATGGTTGTCAAAAAATATACAATATATATCTATATCATAATAATGCCATGTATACCTAACGTTTAGGTGTATAAAGTATGCACGTGTAAAAACACAGATCCGAACAGTACCTGCGTTAACAAGTGGGCCGCGTTAAAAGCTTTATGTTTTCGTATAGGTATCTAGTAATTTTATTCTTACATACCAAATATTTATTAAAAATGTTAATTCACGTGTGCGATGGTTTAGATTAGAAAGAATAATAAATCTAGTATTACTAAATCTAAAACAATTCTACAAATGGCATAGGTTCTAAAAATACTCGTTTTAAACTTCAAATCGAAACCGTATTATCTATAAGTTATCATATTATATTCATACTTTTATATAATATTTTTATCACGAAATATGATTATATTAAATAGTTTTGTTGTTCGTTGTTATTGTAGTAGTTATATATATCATTAAAATATAGTTCTTACCATAAAATTAAATATCATATATTTCAAGGATTTTTTATTTATATACAATTTTTAAATTTTTATAAATATATAATATTATCTTATTTAAATGTAAGCTTACATTTTGTTTAAACAATTTAAGCGTTCAAAACTACAAAAGACAACGATATTATTATCGAATTATTATTGGAAAATACGTCAATGATGTTATTGATATTCCATAATATACTGATATAAATATATTTAATTTTTAAAGCTTTAAAACTAAAATAATTGTATTAATAAATTATTAGTCAAAAATTAACTATTTTAATATGCACGTAAAAAATTAGTCGATGAAATGTAAAATATTTAAAATCAAGAACTTTATGCGGAGCTCAGAAGACTTAAAGTTTTTCTATTTTCTATTTTTAATTACGATTAGATATCGATAATATTATTTCTCAAACGTATATCTCATTATAATTTTATTAAATTATTTAATTTATAATTATCTATAAATATTTTATTTTAAATACGTTTTACTATTTTTAAAAGCCACACATTGAGTATACCACTTAGTATTTCTCATTATAAAAATAGATTTAATTTTAATATATTTAACTGCTATTACCATACGTCACATTGCATATAAAGTTTATCCAACACATTAATACGTTTTGTATCTAGATTTACAATTGACAAAGAAATCGAAATATTTTAAAGTATTTAATATTATATTAAATGTATTATATAATTATTATTTGTTTATGTTTAGGTGTTTACTATGTAACCATTGCATAACATAATATTATAATATACTAGATTATGTAAATGTTATATTATTAAATAATTTTACAAATAAAAGTGGTATTTTAAGTGAGGGGACTTTTTTTATTGATAATTATACTACTAGTTAATAGTTACTATACACTACAACGTCTACGACTTGCCTAATATGATAAAATAGAATTTCTGCCATTTATCTCGAGATTTGTAAAACTTTTACTGTCTAGAAATTCGAACTTGACCGTGTCCACAATATAGGAGTAACTCAGAGGTAAAATAGTGCGGGTAATCGTAATATCTTTCATTGCCCATTGGTAAGTTTTTAGTAAACATTTTTAGCTGTCGTTCAATATCAATCATATAGTTTCTGTATCATCGTCGTTTGAATTTCAAACTGTTTTTACGTCTGTGAGTACGTATAAGTATTTTAAAGTGGTACATGGTACATAGTGTGACGAAATGAGCCTTGTATAGTTTTGTATACTTGTACGTGTAACAATGTAACTCTGTGTTGAACTTTATCACTTCCGGTTCAACGGAATAAGTCAACTGTTTCCCGGGGATTACGTTGCGTCGGTGCATCAATGTAAGATGTACATTTTTATAGTATTTTCAGGACCCTTATAAGAGTATAGATGAGTATACATGCTTAAGCTTCATTGTTATATAAATAAATTTGTATCTTTATATCATACTAAATGTTTTACCTCACATCTGAAGTTAATATGTCATAAACTCTAAATCATAAATTATAGATAATTATTACTCTCTACATGTTACCTAGTTAAATATTAACACAATTTAGTAAAATTAATAAAATAATTTGTTTTGTAAATTTATATAAATAATAACTTAAAAATGAAGGGACCATCGATCTTAGAAGCTTATAATACCACTAGGTATGGACAGCTGCATACACCATCTTTAAAAAAATTATTTACATTTTATTGTATTTAAAATTAATAGGTCTGTAAAATATAATTAAATCTTATAAGTGGTGTTTGTATAATAATATTGTTGTTACAATGTTACTTATTAGTTATTACTTATGACTGTTGCACTGTCATCGTTTTGTATTATTCATGTTTTAGACACTAATGAAAATTCATATTAAGTATAGGGATAATACATTCCTATCTTAACCGAATATACGCTTTTTGGTTATATAATGGAAATTGTAACGATGGTTTACACTCAAACAGAAGTATCTGAGCAATAATAAAGAAACTATAACATTTAAACAAGAGCGAAAAGAGGTGTAATGATGAAATTACATTTAAAAATGGAATCAGACATTAATTGTATTGGCTAACAGATTTTTATACATTACCGCATCATTTAATATCAATGACAATAAACCACATAAAATAATAATAATATATTGTTGTCGATTATATTAAAATATTGGAAGATCGAGTAAGTTGTAGTTATTGGATGTGAAGTATTATAATATATAAAAAGTATATGTATCTATTCGTAGTATCTACTTGACACAGTAAATAAGTCGTCATGTTTATTAAAACAATGAAATATCCATAATCTAGATAAATGTAGATTGGTACATAAAAACGTTTAAGTGAACGAATAATAAATTAAATAAAATCATTGGTACTAAGTTATACATTTATAATACAACAATTACATTGTAATTTGTATTGAGTTTTTATGGATATGTTGTTATGCGTTTTTATAATACATTACTGGGAGTCTATATAGTTATAAGTTTACAATATATAAGGGGGAGCTGCTCGTGTGAATTATATCGGAGAAGAATATACCTTGACGGCCACTAACAATTGTTAATTGAAATTCCACAAAAGTATTTGTGTGTAAATAATTTTTGGGCGCACGTCATTTCGGAATCGTATATTATTATGTTGTATGGGCGGCTACCTAACCTATCTACGGTAAATATTTATAGGCTTAATATCCAAGACTTAAATAATAACTCTGTCGACCCTTAGCTCAATCAGAATGTGGTTTCTACTGATAGCAAAAAGAGTGTTCGAATATGTACCCCAAATTTAAAAAATCTTAGACCACAAGTGATTAGAATAAAACCTACAACGGAAAGACGTATGAAGCGTAGTTCGGACTGCTGATTGCGCGGGAACGACCGGTGGCGTTTGTAAATTCAGGCGGCGCATTGAGGGGATCGCGTGAGAGCGCGATAGGTCGGAGGTGGTGCAGGCTGCCAACTTAACATCCGGCGAGGCCGATCGGAGCGCATCGCATCGAACCGCATCGCCGTCGAGTCAGACGTCCCCGTGATAACGATGCGATAACGATATAGCACGTGTTTGAGGTTATGTTATGTTTTCGATAAAGGTTTTCGCGATTCCGAAACGCAATAATTTCGTCTCGTTTACCGCCATCGCGGCCCAAAATTTGGGATTCGCGTCGACGTTGTCACCGTGTCGTGCTCGTTTATCGTTTCGTTTTGACTGCCGAAAAATGGATTTGAAGAGTTTAAAGGACCGAACGCTGTTCGCGGTCGTCGGATGTACGGGCACAGGGAAAACGAAACTCGGCGTGAGGCTAGCTCAGGAGCTGGGCGGCGAAGTCGTGTCGGCCGATTCCATCCAAGTGAGTACATAGTTGTGTTGTATTTCGTTTGTTATCATTGGGTCGATGAGATTTGATAGATAAGGCTAAGTTTTATTTCGCCTCATGAAAGGCTTTGAAAGAGGGGAATATGAAGGTGGCTTCGTCGAAGTATTTGCGCTCTAGTCCATAATTTTCTATAACTCCTTGGTATTTTTTTCATTTTATGCTTGGCGAATAGTTCGTGAAAAGCTAGTCCTCGTCAAGTCTAATAGCGCACAATATTTTTTATGTGGGTGTGTATATTGTGACAATAGGTAACTTCTATGGTATCAAAATCGATAGGAATGTTTTCGGAAGTGTCTGAGATAATATTGTATTAATATTATTATTGTTATTGTTATTGATAATCGTGATAATTACGATAACGTTAAATACTATGTGTTGAAAAAAAATATGTGCTGTTCACAGATAACGTAATTCGATTGTTTTTCGTAGTTACTTTGTAAAATTGTTCACGGTACGGTCTTAGTGATAAGGGAGTATTGTGAATCAAATTTTTTCACCAACTCTCGGGATTCCAGAAAAATAAAATACATATCGTTTTTTAAGAAATCGAATTTCGTTATTTTTGCATTAGAACCAAATAAATTAAAAAATATATTATAAGTGAAAACTGATAACTGGTTAATGAAATTTATTTCGATTTCAAAATAAAATCATCTAATAATACGTTCAACAAAATTACTTTTTACGTATTTATATTCAGTTTGAATGTTGATAATTTAATAATGAACCTGATTTATTATGTTTATAAGTATAGAAATTAAAATGTTTTCACATTATTAAATCAGTAAAAAAAATAATAAGAAATAAAAATAAATAGAAATTCATTTAAAAATAAATATTTTTGGCTATTAGTTTTTAAAAATGTTAAATTTTGTTTTGTCAAATGTATGAATTAACGAGATAAGCCAAGTGCTTAAAATTAGATTTTTATATTTTGTTTTGCATTCTTAATGACATACATTGATCGAATGATTTGCAGTTCGATTAAATAATAATATATTTTTTAGACATTTGGTAGTAAGATCTTTGTATTTCAACCGTCTCAAGTAGAATATGATTTGTCATTATTTATAAATCAGAAAATAATAATTATACATTATAGTCAAGTATGGAATGTATAGTAGGTGTGAAAATACATTTTATGTAATTAAATAATTAAATCGGCTTTTTATTTCTTAGTTTTTTGGTAATGTCTTATAAGTAGAAATTGATTAAACATAAACTCAATAGGTTAAAATCCAGGTTAAACGCATACAGTTTATGCCGTAATATTGTTAATTAGGCTGCTTAAGTCTTGGCTAAGTCCGACTCAGTGGCCAATAATTATTTAATTTACAAACTCAATATTGTTATTATATTGAGATATAAAATAAAATAGAATATCTATAATTAGAAGTAAAAGAAAGTGAGATTACTGGTCTGTTTTTTCTTTCATCCTTTTTTCGTGTATTATTTACTTGTAGCACATCATCATTCATCTACTATTCATAAAAGTTTTCTTTTAAACATTATGTGGGTATCTATTATTTTTTTACATTAATGTTTCTATAAATACTGAAGTACAGAACTTGTTGAATTGCAATACTTAATTATTTATTGATGGATAATGTTCAAAAATAATACTTTTTAATAAAATTCAAAATGTTCTATTTAAAGTTTTTAAACGAATAAATACTTAAGTATAACATAATAAAATATTATAAATAGGTAAATAGGTTTTAGCAATTAAAAATATTATTGATATTAGAATCTGAATGGATAGGTGAATGTATTGATTTTACAATGATGTGTGACTGTGTGTATTAAAATGCTTGCAAACTTCATATAATGTATGAAAAATACAAAAATACAAGTATTTTGTTATATGTAAATATTTTTAAATTCTTATAACTGACGTTTGAAAATTGAGTATAATATTCCTCATAAGTAATTCATACTGGAATTGAATACTCCAAAGAATAAATAAACGTTAAACATAATTATTTAAAACTTTGTAAATAATTTTGTTATAATTTAAATATATTGTTCATAAGGACTTATAAATTTTACGTATATTATGAATATCACCGTGTAACGAAATTTCAAAATATGTAGATTGATTTTAAGATATTACTATGAACTTATTCACACTGCTTTACCGTTAAATGCTATTTATTCAAAAGGTAATAACAATAGTGTATACTATAAAAGGGCGTAACATGATTGTGCACTGTTTACCTTTTTGTATTTGAAAAAGTACAACACGATCGCGTATAAAATTAATTTAATTTTATATTGTTGGCTTAAATGATTATAGTTTAAAAAACTATAGTTTTGGGGGGAGGGCTGTAGCCTTTTTAGGGGTAGACATGTACTGATACGTGGAAGGTTTCATCTGCATTTTAGGGGGGGGGCTAAGCTCTCCCAAGTCCCCCCCAATTACGCCTATGCCAACTAAACACCTAATGTACAGCAGAGGTACCATCTTAACTACATTTTATCATGAGAATAATTACATTGTTTATAATAATTAATATAATAATTGCTATAGTTGTAAAATATATATTATGATAAAACAACATACTTTTTTGTTACTTTTGAGCAGTGGGTACTAACTACATTGCGTAGAGTCAAATACCAAAAGTAGAAATCAGTAGTGAATTTATAATATAATACCCATGTGTGCAATATTTGTTCTTCATAATTGTGGTGACCATATGACAACATATCTAGTACCTCACACGCATAATGACACATCACATGTTTGGCAGTTAAACATGTACATTATTTATTCATAATTAGCCGTTTGTAAATCTTTGTATGTGTGTATATATATATATACATGTACATATAGTGCCCACACGGTGAATACGTCTGTAGAGGCAAAAATAGAACACTAAACCTTTCATAAAATTTTAGAAAGAGAAAACTTTTGACTTTGAACTATAGGAAAAAAAATAGATGACATTATCATATTATAGTTTAGTTTTTTTTGGGAAATTAACAAACAATGATTCTTGTCTTTTAGATTTAATATAAAACGAGGACATCTAGGTACTCTTTTTATAGTATGATTAAACATTTGATAATTTAACATGTTTGAATAAAAATAATATTTTTTCTATTTTGTATCGTAAACAATTTTTTTTTCTTTATTGAAAAATAAATTTAATTTTATGCTATAAAGCAGAATATATTTATGTACCTTTATGTTACTTCACTCAGCTTACCTAAAATTTAAATAATTAAATAGGTACTCGATATTTTTATCAGTCGAAAAACATAGAAAATATTTTGCTTCAGGACATAAAATAAAAATGTATGTTTTCATCTACAATTGTAGCAAATTTATAAAATGAAAAACTATTATAAATGCTATAAAATACTATTTTTTTCAAAAACGTCTTTTTGGAATAACTTACATAAATTACGTAAAAAATGTTCTCAAAGCATTGTTTTACGTTGATAGATTCATCCTGTATAATTTTTTTATAGATCTTCCAATGGCATTATAAATATTGTACGTATTAAAACCAACTATTGGTGCTAAATTTGTGTTCCCTGTTGTATAATTCAATTTTACTAGGTGTTAAAGCATATTTACGACCTTGCCGCGTTTTGAATGAAATTGCATAATATGAATGACGTAAAATGAGAAATTCTCGTTTCTTTTTCCCTATATACCCAGAGGAATTAAATATAATATGCTGATATTCGATACAACATGTATTCAACAGAATATAAGTATATGTTAAACTTACATGCACAAATCAATTTACATAACTGTCTTTTGAATTTATCAACTTTTTTTTAATCACAACTATTTTTGTATATTATATCACATGAGTTAGACAATTTCAGTTCCCTTTTCATATTGTAACTGCCTGTATAGAAAAATTACTTTGAATCTTTCAAAGTTTCATTTTTATTGGTCAACAATCGATGTTGAAGTACGTTTAATCTAACCAGGGTAGTGCACCTTGTTGAAGCGATTTTATTACATATATTTTATTATCCAGCTTAAGTTTTATAACATAATCCCGTTTCTTATTTTAAAGGATACGGGGAAGGGTTCATATTAATTTTATTCTTCTAATATTTAATGCCTTAGTGATTTAAACTATACAAATACAATGACGTCATATCTTACGAGTTCCATTCATACTTATTCATATCTCAATAATTGTTCTGTTGTACCTATATTTTATTTTTATGTATTAATTTTTAATTACATTTTATTTTATAGTATTTGTATGTTTTTTAATTATCTCAATAATCTTATTAACATAAAAAATAAATGCAATTATATAATTATGTTTTGTATGCCTAAGTAGATAGTAGTGTATTGTGTATGCGACCTAACTATGCTAATGAGTTTTTTTATTACTAAATTCTAATATTTTTTTTTTATAACTAAATATTGACGTACGGTGTGATTCATAACTAACAATTTAAGTATTTTTTTGTTTGAATTGTTTTAAGTACATTTTGTGTTTCCAAAAAATATTTTTTATGAATAGAAATACAAAACTTATTACGTAGGTATTACTTATTTTATAAATATAACTATTAACGAAATTACAAATATTGTATAGTTTATGTTGTATTTTATTTAAATACGTAATATATACTGTATATTATATATGCTATTATTATTTTAAAACTTATAAATATGAATGGCAAATAAAAATTAAAATATGTGCACATTGGAAGAATTTAAACATGACTTAAAAAATATTTAAATTTTTATTGAGTTTTTACGGTTATAAACAAAAAAAAAATATATGAGAATTTAAATTCAAAAATAATAATTTTCATTCTACTTATGAAAGATAGGTGAGAAGGGTAGAATACGATTGCGTATTTTGTCTTTTTTGGAAACACGATTGCGTATGTTTGTAGATGATATCTAATAAATATCTAGTAAAGTATGTACACTTCTACAACAATCAATAAAAATAATAAAATATATCTAATGGGAATAACTATAGTAT